ATTTATTTTAGTAGTCTTAATCTTGGGAGTTATATTTGGAAGGGTCGTCGTTCATTTTGGTTTCGGAAAACTTCATTCGCATCCGTACATACTATACGCGCGTGCACAAGTAAACAAAGTTATTGACCTGACACATACATTATAGAGTCGACATTGTGCGTCCAGCGTAGAGGGATGCCATGTCCCTACGCACCCATAGCGAAACTAACATTTCTAGTTCTTTTTTATACTGTTGAAACTTAATGATCAATGCTCAAAGCGTCTGTACCTGTCAGCTCTCACGGTCGTCATGGCGGCCGTTTACCCATGCTGCCTCCGGTCCGCCTAACACGCATGAATTAATCAACGGCTCGCGATGCCGAAAAGTTGGCCGCAGCCGGACGAAGGTAAGGCGCGTACATTTTGACTGATTCTTTCCTGGTGAGAACGCAGGCTGCAACCGCTTGCGGTGCTGCGTGTACCCTCTCAGCCGGGGGTGTAGGCGTGTCCAGTCGTGGATACACGTGGAGGTCATAGTGGGTCGCTCACTTGCTTGCAGGCGCAGACTACGCCTGACGTCCATTAACTGGCACCCAACTCTCACATGAGGCTCCTCGAAGCTAGGATCTGACTAGAGGCGACACCCTGGTAACAGACTCGACCGGCGGGCCAAACCAGGTGAGGGCATGCGCGTGTGCATCCCCGCTCACGGTAACTCCGCTCCCCACCCCCCTTATCCTCCCCCCTTTCCTCAACCCCGCTCTTCCATTCTCTACTTTCTCCTCCCCCCTATTCTCTAATCTGCTCTCTCCCCCCACGGCCAAAGGTCCTAGGACGTGGGCGACATACAATCGAGTAGGCAGTCCATTACAATGGCTCATTCTCTCAATCAACTAAGAAACCCATAGTTGAGAGCGGCAGCCGTCCGGTGTGACAAAGCAGCTTTATCTAGGGAGAACATTGCTTACCCCGCGAGGGGGGGCTAAAAAGATGCCCTAAACAATGTTAAGTTCACGACAGCTGCTCGCAGACCGTGGCTTCCAGACTGCAGTATCTGCGGTCGAGACCGAAACACAAAACAAAATACTCTCCCTTACGCCCCAATCCACAGGCTGCTAGGGTAAGTCTGTACACTCTGACAGCTTGCAGTGTCCGTTCCCATTTAGATAATCCTAGGAGTAACCGGTCGAAATGAAGGACGGCGCTTGTCGCCTGGGAAATGTCGCGTTACAAGATGGGCATCGCTGCACACAGCAAGACATTGTACTACAAACAAGGCCAAGAGGAGGAGGAGGAGGAGGAGGGTGCCAGCTACACCTTCTGGAGCGGCCGCCCCAGGACTGAGCGATGAGACGCGGACATCGCGTTTGCCGTGCGGAACAAGATCGTGGAACGACTGCCCCGTCTGCCGCAGGGCATCAACGATCGTCTGATGAGCCTTCGCCTACCTCCTCGGGATGACAAATTCACCACCATCATCAGCGTCTATGACCCAACAGTGACCGGCTCAGACGACGCGAAGGCCAAGTTCTGCAAAGACCTGCACGTCCTGCTGGTGTCTATGCCGAAGGTGGATAAGTTGATTGTCCTTCGTGTCTTCGATGTCCGCGTCGGGACAGACAGTACTGCCTGGGAAGGAGTGCTGGGTCCTCACGGAATCGCCAGCTGAGACGGCAACGGTATCCTTCTTCTGGGACCTGGATCAAACCGCCTCCTGCTGACCAGCACATTCTTCTGCTTGCCGATGCAGAAGAAGGTGACCTGGACGCACTCCTGATCGAGGCGCTAGCAGCTGCTGGACTATGTTCTCGTCTGGCAACGAGATCGGCGGGACGTGATGGTGACCAAGGCGACCACTGACGTTGATGGCTGGACAGACCATCGCCTCGTCATCTCCGTAATGAAGGTCCATTTTCAATGCCACAGGAGGCCACAAAGCAAGCAACCGTCAGGTAGGCTGAATACTGCTTTGATGTTTTGCCGGCTCCGAGTTTACATTTCAGCAATCAGTTAGCTCAGCCCTTTAAAGACCTACAAGCATCGGACGCTTACGCCACCGTGGAGACACGATGGTGCCCACTGCTGGACGCCGTTCATTCGATCGCAATGGCTGTCTCAGGTACGGCACCTTGCCAGCACCAGGACTGATTCGACAACAACTACACAATCATCAGTAACCTGCTCACCGAGAAGAAGAAGCTGCACAGAGCCTGTCTTCTACCAATGTCATCGCCTAGCGCAGCAACGGTTGCGTGAAATGTAGGACTCCTGGACGACTCACAAGTCCAAAGAGATCCAGGGATACGCCAACCGTAAGGAATCCAAAAATTTCTTCGTTGCGGTCAAAGCAATCTACGGCCCCCAACCCAAGGGACTGCACAGCATATCAGATCCGATGGAACAACGTTTCTGATGGAGAAGTCACAGATTCTGAAGCGCTGGGCCGCGCACTCCAAAAGCGTCCTCAACCGCCCCTCCACAATCTCCAGAGCCCCCACCGGCCGACTCTCCCAAGCGAAAATCAACGTCGGCCTGGACCTCATGTTCTTCCTTCCAGAAACCATTCGCGTCGTGCAACAACTCTCCAGCGGGCTCCGGAGCAATCCTAGCCGAAATCTACAGGCACGACGGCCACCGCCTGATGGATCAGCACATCAACCGGCATGGCGTAAAGAAGTGAAAACCGGCTCCGCCATCTATGAAACAGATCGGATCGCTGCCGCCAAAGCCAAATGAAGGCTCGCAAATCACAAGTATCTTGACTGCTCAATGCCGTTTTCAAAATCTCCGCCCTGCCAACGCACAATCCGCATGCGAAGCGGTCTCATAGAGAATCTTCGGACCTCACGTGCCAAAGACCCGACAACGTCTACGTCTCCCACTCTCGCCCCTGCCGCAAATCCCGTCCCCGTCACCGCCGACCGCACGGTTACTGTCCCGCCGCCGTCACCACCCACTGACACCATCCGCTCTACACATCTAGCACATCTTGCACGTCTACCATGTCTGGCCCAATGCCCAGCCCGCCGCCCAGCGTGCCCATCAACAGCAACGCCAGAACCACCACTATCACCGAAACCAACTCTGACACTCCTGATCTATCCTACCTACACCGTCCACGTGCATTCATCCCACCCATCGGCCTGGTCGGTCACTTGCAAATTCATCGCACAGAGACTGGTGAACCAGTGTCTGGAGCACCTAACTACACTCACAGCATCCGCCTTCACTGTGCGCACTGCACACGCACAGGGGCCTATTAAGCAGCATGCATATTCATGAATACCTGTGGTAGACAACCGCTGGCTACATAGCCCACCACATTACTACACCTTCTCGTAACACCATCTATACCAAACAACATCAACACAAAACGCCAGTAAGTCGTCAGCTCCCACGCAATCGGGAAATGTGGTTCTAGGCGGCTCCTCTGCTGCACGTGTGATCGGAATCTCAGACTATCAGAATGCGCCAGGCGTCGTGGCTTGGAAGGCTGAAGACCGATGCAGTCAGCCCAGTTGGGTGAGCTGCGAGTCAGGCTGTCACGGCTTCCTCTTAGCGTGGCCGCCGACCCTCTCACACACGTGTGGTGTGTGTGTTCTTTATGGCTAGGGCCTCTCAGTCGATGATTGCATGGTTATCCAGCCTTTGAAGATTGATGGCCCAGGCCTAGTGCAGGACTACTTGTCACCCTTCTAGGTTTTGAAGATTGTAAACATCTGCTATGCAGTGATGCAAACAAGAATGACCCTTGCGGCCTGGTATGAGCTCGCACTTCTCTGATACCTGGTTCCCTGCTAGTAGGCGCGCTTGCGCTCTCGCTGGGTATGCAGGTCGTGAAAATGGCTGCTCTGTCATGCTCGTCCTTCCGATCCGTTGTGGTGCTGTTGTTTTTTGGTCAAAATCTTGACCAAATGTTTGTTGTGGACCAGAGTTGTAGTGGCACACCTAGGTGCGAGTGCAGCCGTGCCAGCCACCTGTGCCCTCTTCCGCCTCCGATCTTCTTAACTGTGTCTTGACACGGGGTCCAGACCGGGGGGAGGGGGGAAGGGGACAGTGCGGTGTATCCTCACTATCAGCATATCGACGCACAAGTCACTGTGCCCGTTTCACCCTGTGATGGTGCACACAGTGGACATCGTAGTTTGTGACGGTCGAACTGTCTCACTCTCGGCCTGGGTAAACCTTGTCCATCTAGATGTACTTCCTTCCTTCTCATTTGGGAATCTTCACGATGTCGCCCTTCGAAAGGTGACGATTCCTTCTGAGCGCCATACGTTTTTTCCAATTTATGCACTGATCAGATGTTGACAGTGAACAAATTCCCACCACATTTGCATCATATTTTGGTACCGGCTTCTGGCATTATTTCAGTGTAACAAATCGCCCAGGTGGCCGAACAGCTGATGGAGATGTACGGTTTCGTTAAGGCTTCTCTATCCGCACTTTCAACTCCACCAGCCTCCCCTGTTGCGGTTCTATCGAACTTGAGATCACAAGTGGTGAATCACGCACAAGATTTTGCCACTCTTAGGCAGTAGGTAGCTTGCCTTTCAGTCTGCAACCCATGGAGTCCATCCATACAACAAGCCCAGCATCTTCCCTAATCTTGACCCAGCAGAACAACACTTTGTTAGTACCATATCACATTTGGTGCCATAGGTCTTCGCTGCATCTCTCTTTGCGCCTTCATCTGGGAGTCGAGACCACGGGTGATACGGGTATGCACAAAAATAAGTGTTACCAATCACCCTGGATTCTCCGGCCCTCGTCGTGCCTTCTAAATCTGCAACAGTCTGACTGGCGGACGTTTCCTCGTGGACACCGGAGTCCAGGTTATTGTGGTTCCTCCCATTCTACCCGGCAATCGCTGCCATAACCCTGGTCTCCATCTCCAAGCTGCAAATCGTTCCCCCATTCCCACATTAAACAGCCTGTTCCTCACACTGCATATCAACCTTCACAGTTAATTACCCTGGATCTTTGTGCTTGCTGCTGTCACTAATGCAGGCCCCGGTTCAGACCTTCTGGCCGGGTTCCATCTCTTTGTGAACTGCCGGCGTTCTCACCTGCTCGACCGCATGACTGCTCTACCTGTCCGCCGGCTGACTCCCTTTAAAACCTACAACTTATCTGTCCTGGATACAGATATGGCTTGCCATTAATGGGGTTCCTTCTCCAACATCCGAACACTATCAGCCCCTAGTTTTGCGGTTGCGAGGTCCAAAACAATGTTGGACGCCACATCCCACCTCAGGCTCGATCTAGACGACTGGCGACGGCCCGCCTGCAGGTCGCGAATGGGGCCATTGGACAGTTGCTCCAACTTGACCATCCGAGACCCCCTGGGCATCCCCTCTGCACATGGTGCCCTGGGCAACATCAGGCGATTGGCGACCCTGTGGCGACTACCGTGCCCCCTACAGCGTCACGATTCCGATCGTTACTAGTGCCTCGCCGTCTGGATTTCCCCGGAGCCATTTTCGACGAAGCCATTTTTTCGAAGATGGACATTTTGCGCTCCTTCCGCCAGATACCTGCTGCCCTAGACGAAGTCCTAAATGCTGCCGTTTTTATTTCATATAGCCGCTCTGAATTCAGCCGTATGCACTTGGGTCTTCACTGCGCCACCCAGAGGTTCATCGACCGTGTCTTACATGGCTGGCATTTTGCGTATGCCCACATTGAAGACGGAAAGGCCTCCTACATAGGACAAGGGAGTAGGTACGCCCGTCCGAAAACTTAAAGTGGATCTGCGCATAATTCCTTAAAGAGCAAAATATTTCCGTGGCCTAACCCCAACACTAACCCTAGTATAAAACTAAATAATTGCCCTAACCTTAACCCTAGCCTCATTCCCGACCTTGGCTCTACAGTAAACACTAGCCCCCACCTTAACCCTAAACTTGGTCCTGACTTACCCTGCCGTTAACTTTAAATCTATTCTTAAGCCTACTCCTTTAACTATCCTAACCGTAAACCTATTCCCAGTTTCACTGAAAGTTGGCTCAGAACCACCCGTATTGCAGGAAGTTTCTGCTCACATGTCCCTGTTTAGGGGGCGACATAAGTCGGTCCTGACTGATGACCTCTTGGTGACTAGTCAGAATGCTGAAGGGCACAGGGAGCACCTCACTCTGGTGCTTGACCCCCTAGACAAGTACTGCGTCATCATCAGCCCTTCCAAGTGCGTTTTCGGTGCGTCATCCCTTGAGTTCCTATGCCATCACATTGCTCTGAAGGCTGGCGTCCTCTGCTCTCCAAGGTAAAAGACATTCGTGATTTCTTCCTGCAAACTTCCAAGTGCCAGTTCCAACGTTCCTTTGACTTGGGTAACTGTCACCGTCGGTTCCCACTGAACTGTGCTGACTTCATTCCGCGGCTCGCCATCGTACTTTCTGGTCCCAAGGGTCCCATCGAGCTTATTGGTGAAGTACTAATTACTTTTGAAAGGATCAAGGCTTCCTTGGCGGACATTAGCTTGCTGACACATCCCGCTTCCGTAGCTCCTCCGCCCTTGATGATTGAAGTTTCGACCGCTGCCGTAGGCTCCGTTCATCAACAGCGCCTTGCAGGTTCGACTCGACCATCGACTTTCTTCTCCAAGAAACTCTTACTGACTGAGACGCGGTAAGGAAAATTTGGCTGTAAACTACTCGACATTTATTACACCAGAAACATTTCCGACACTTCCTTGGAGGTCATGGTTTCACCAGTTTCATCTATCAAAAGCCGCTGACGTTTGCCCGTCAGTCCCACTCTGGCAGATATAGTCGAGAGAGGTTGCCCACCTGAACTACATATCACAATTCTCCGCCGACATCCGCTCCGTTAGTAACACGAAGAATGAGGTGGCTGACGTACTGCCTTTACCTTGCCGCTCCGCACTCCAGCTCTCACGTACGATCAACCTTACTGTCATGACGGCTGATGAACGACGAGTCAGCTGTCTAGGTGATGAGTCCGTTCGTAGTCTCCAGCTCGTTGATGTTCCGCTGACCCCCGATACTGGCCCAATCCTCCGTGACGTCTCAACTCTTTCTCATCGTTCCTAAATGCCAACCTCGATGAGTTGAACTGTACTTCAGTCTCTCTAGGGACTCTACTACGCTGGGATCTGCACTCACAAAGCTCCTCGCAGAAAGATGCATCCAGCGTGGCGCGAACAGGGATATCAGAGCACGGGTACGGTTATGCTTCAGTTGCCAGTGGAACTAGCTATAGCGCTGCAAAAAGTCTCCACTAGCACCCTCCCCATTCAAAACGCACGGTTAAGCCATGTTCCTCTTGATGTCGTAGACCTCTTACCTCCATTTGAAGGCTACACCCACCTTCCTACCTTTATAGACCAATACACACCCTAGACTGAAGTTATCCCTCTGCCAACCGTCTGTGCGTACATCATCGTTAGGGCTTTCGTCGGTCGTTGGAACGTCACTTTTTTGTGCTGTATCAACAGTTACGACTGATTGGGGTGCCTTTTTTGAGCCTTCTGACTTCCAAGTCCTTCTTCCCTATCATGGATGAACGCGCAATCGGACAGCGGTCTATTACCCAGAAGTCAACGACATGTTCGAGCGTCCCCACCATTAGTTAAAGACCACTTATAGCACCACAGCGAACCCAACGAACTGGCCCGACAACCTACTACTTGCACTTTTTGGCGTTCGCGCGGCACTGAAGTCGGATCTGAACTGCAACTCAGGGGGATTGGTTTCGGGGTCTACCCCTGACTATCAGGCGAGATGGTTATACCAAACTCTTGTGGAACCGACGAATCCTAACAAATTCGTGCATCGTATGCCGCAATTTACGCGTTCGCTGTCCCCAGTTCTGCCTCGAACTCCACCGACCGAGTCTAATACCGAGCAAGGCCTAATCGACTGAACTCATGGGTTCTTTCGGTGTGACCATGTACGCAAGACCCTGGAGTCACCAAAAAATACCGTTCCAGGTACTCTCACACATCACCAAGATCTGCCACAACCTATGCGGTGACAAGGAGGACGTAATGGGCACCGACCGGGTCGAGACTGCTGTCTCACACGGATCACCCTGCCTGCCCCAAGGACGGAAGTGTGCTGCCCCCTGCTCAGTGCTTCTCCACCTTCCCTATTTCCTGTTCCTCTCCCTATCTCACCCTCATTCCCTTCGTCCCGTCTACTCCTCGCCTCGCTATGTTCGCAGCGTCCGACTGTAGACGCCGCCGCCGCCGCCGCCGCCGCCTCCTCCTCCCCCCCCCTCCTCCTCCTCTTTCTCAATTCCTCTCATCGCAGCACGCATTCATTCCTCTCCTCCTTCCCCTCTCGTCTGTATCATAAGCAGTAGACGCCGTGTTCAATTTCCTGGCCGTTTGGTTACCCATATTTTTTAGAAATGAATACTTCCTTGGGCGTCATTACACATCGCCTTCGGTCTAGGCGGAGAGTACTGAAACCGTTCCTTCTCACGGTCGTCAGGGCCGCCACTTACCCACGCCGTCTGCGGTCCCACTAACACGCATGAACCGACCTCCGGTTCGCGACGCCAAACAATTGACCACAGCTGGACGAAGGTAGGGCGCATGCATTTTGGCTGACTCTTTCCTGGTGGCAACGTTAGCCACAACTACTTGCGGTGCAGCGTGCGTACTCTCGGCCTCAGTAAACCTTGTCCATTTAAATCTCCTCCCTTCTTTTTGATTATGAAACCTTCAAGTTGTCCCGCCATTGCGCCTTCGAAACGTCCACTCATCATGTGAAATCAACACACAAATGGTAGTATGAATATTTCATCCATGGCAATAGGGGCCTCGACAAGACATACGTGGCTAAGCGTCGTAATATTTGACTAATTACACAGAAATACTAGTGAAGTCAACCATCTGGTCAGTTAGGAGAAACCTTGTTTCAAGGCTTTCAGCTGGTTATTCTACAATTTCCGGAGACGTATAATCTCTCTAAAACCTGAGAGACTCGGCAACAGACTATCGTCTTAGATGGGCTATAGCTAATGAGACAACCGATCCGTACTAGTAAATTGCTTTTCATCCAACTTTATTTCTGGTAATATAAAAGGCCATGTCGCCAGGACTCCAGTCCAGGATTTAGGGGATCCGGAAACGAAACATCTTTGCAATCAGTCTATATGATTGTTCAGTCTTAAACCTTTAGTTTTTGTTTAAAGACGAGAAGTTCAACAAACGAGTAACTACTGTAAACGTTCTTTCCGGACATTCCCAAGTTCTTGGGTCCCTGTGATTTTAGAGTGATTTCGAAAATCTTGTATCCCACCGGCAATGAGCCAGCGCAGTCGACTACGAAAGTTTTCAATTAAAAAGCTACAATTTCTACAAGCTGTTTCAATTTGGCCAGAAAATTTTGAAATACCCGGATATACCACATCCGGTACGGACCTATGTGCTAACATGTTGGCATAGCATTATAAACTTCGGTACAACGATCGTTTGACTTTAGCATGTACAGATACAGTAATTAGTAGTATGTTATACACGCACAGGAATTGTCTTACTGCATCGTAACATACGTACCAGTTAGAGGCGTCCGTAGAGAGCGCGATGAAGAATTTCCATTCGCAAATTTCAAAATTTCATTTTGAAAGAGTATTTCCCCCTTGCTGTTCGCATAACGCATCATAATCGGCTGTCGTCTTATATCGGTCAAGTGCATGTCCAGCCCTCTACTGTCAGCTAAGAGCCTCTTTTTGGTTTACGCAGCAAGAGAATTTCTTCACTTTCGTAATCAACTTTACAAACAGTAAACACCCTACTATGTGAGCGCCTATAAGAATTTTGACCTGTTGAATTCTGCCGCAGGATGAACTTGGAGTCCGATATGACTCCAGCCAGAGATTTATGCTGATAAACATGCATCTTCTACTTAGGGGCCAGGGTTCGCGACTGTGCTGTAAAATAGATGAATGGTGGTTTCCGACCTCACTATTTCACGGTTTAAAATTCGTCTGAGACTGCAGAGGGCGGTATGAAACTCAGTCAACCGTCCTAAATCTTTTGTGTAGTTGGAAATCCTAAAGAACGCCTCGTGTTTCTGTAAACATGGGAGGGATGTCGGTCAATATTCCATCAGAGTTAATAACAGAGATAATCGAACTACATAGTGTTAGGTCAGTCTGTTTATCCAGTCACTCACTACTTCGCAAGGGTTCCTCTCTGCTAACTGAGTGATCAGTATCCTTCTAGTCTCTTCTAACTTTTGAAACTGCTGCCTCCTACGATACCCTTGGCTTCGAGGCTTCTTTGAACTTTGTGATTGTAAGCTTAAAAGTAAGAATTCTGGCTTCTAGGGGATTATTGATATTTGAAATGGTCAGCGAAGCGCGCCAGGATAATAGGACTTTTAGTTCACGCAATCAATTCTGGCGATAGTCGCGAGGGAGCAAACGCGCCTTTGTATGGAGTGCCTTTGCTTCTCTGTCGTTTTTCTGGTCAGATAAAATAAACTACCCACCGTAGGCAGGCATGCCAACTAGCAGTGAATACTTGGATTTTTAAAATAGCTGACAGATAAGCCCCGGTTTTTAGTTAGGTTAGGAAAGGTTTGTGCTGCCGTTAACCCCTATGGAACAGAAATTGCTCCACTATAGACAGTCAGTTCTGTGCTTTAAAATGCATGTGTTAAGAAACAGTCGCAAGACTAAGATAATGTGATACTAGAATGCTGGAAATAAAATCGTCGCAATGCACGTAGATATTACATCAAGCAACTAACTACCCAGCTGATTGGCCATTGGGGGCAAATGAGAGGATGGGGTAGGGATTCGCCCGCTTACACACAAGTCTGTGAAGGATTGAGGCGAGTCAATTGTCTCTTGAGAACCAAAGTGGCAAATGCCCACCAGTTTTTAAAGTAAACTAAGTATATGTGATCACACCTAGGCATATAAATACGCATCTTTATATTACTGTCATATGAAGGCAGTATATAGAAGACAGGAACTTGCAAATGCCTTAATTAAATGCATGTTTGTACGCAAGGCTAGGAAAAATATAGTGAAGCAAGGATTACCAAGACGCCTTCTTATGGGCTAAAAAACAAGGAACGTTCTTGTTCAGTAGAGGAGAGCACATCTACGCGTGCTGGACTGTTGGAGGGGATGCGAAGTGGAAATAAACAGGCTCAGAGTAAAGGATGTGTGCCAGTTTGGATTGATCAAGAGAGAGGGAAGTTTTCGAGTGTGGTCGAGGCCGGAGGATCAGCAGAGGTCACCCCCAAACCCGAGGTATGATGGGGATCATCACAAAACCGGTGTTAAGAAGAGACCCAGAAGCGCGGAGGGGGATAGCCAGCTTGTACCTGAAGAACATAAACGCAGAGGCGCCCACTCTCCGATGTCACTACTGACACACTGCTGACGTGCTGTTGACTGGGCGACTGTTCAACTGTTTCATCCCAAGGGCGCTGACGACGGACGTAGGCGGAGGGAGTGGGTGGTGATGCGCGGTCTGTTGAGAAACGGCCGTGTAGGGGTAGCTGGGATGGAAGTTGGTAGTAACGGAGGAAGCCGAAAGGGGATATTCAGGACGTTGCATGTAGCAGTCTGTCAAACCATCCAAATTTAGGGGGAAGAGGTCAGCTGTCTGAGAGGTGTAGCTAGGTGTGGTAGGTGACATCCCGGAGGCACACGCGTTCTCCCGTGCAGTGAGACAGGTCTGACACCCAGCTGCTGAATAGGTGCACCCCGTTGTCTGGTAGTTACGACACATATCAGAGGCGAAGGTTGATCCGCCAAACGGGTTGGCAGGTCGCGCCACGGCGGACACAGTATCCGTTACAGCCCGATCAGGCGGCGAAGAACTACTGAATAGCTGCGGCACACGGAGAGAGGCGGAAGGAACCACATTTCTGCGAGAGTGGTGCTCCCCGTCGAGTTTGTCGAAAGGACTTGATTCCCAACGACCGCGGCGACAGAAGAAGTTGCGCCAACTGCGGCAACTTTTTTTATTGGCCCAAACCCACATCCCCGAAGTGATCCCCACTACCAAAGACATGAATATTCGTAGCAAAGCAGCCTCTGGTGAGGGTGAGCTCTTCGGATGACACTCATCGACACCCCAAGCGATGCCGCGGGAAGACAGACAGTGAGGATTATCTCGATGTAAAGCTGCAAGGGCTGATCTCCATTTAGGTTGGCCGAGGTATTCGTAAAGATTACCTGCCAACAGACAGGCCATTGGGAATGTGTAAAGAACGGCAAAGACGCCCAGCTTGGCGATTGACTTTTCTAACCTCCGCCGGCTGTCACGCTCAGGATCGCCGACTCTGGAGGGTGCCTTCAACTTCTGGCGTACCTGAAAGACCGCCGCGAAGCCAACACTGAGGAGGATTAGACCCAGGGCCAGGTAAATCGTCTGAGGGAGCAGAACTCCGAAGAGAAGTGCATTTTCACTGTGGAAACCGGTGTAACAAGTGCCTGTCAATTCATCAGCATCGATTTTGTGTAAGATGAGGATAAGGATTGCCTGAATGGCAGGTAGTGCCCAAGCAAACATATGGAAAACACGACTCACTGACTCCACGCCTTCATGGCCCCACTTGCGTGCGGTGGAAAGATACCAGGCCAGACTGAGCATTACCCACCACAAGTTGCTAGCCATACCGAAGTAGTAAGTAATGAGGAAACCGACAGTGCACCAGGTTCCCTCTTGTCCAGACTTGAGAAGATACTTCTTGCTTTCTACCACCGCCTCCGACTGTGACCCCGTTCCTATTCCCACTGCGTTTGCAGGCTCCACGGGGTTGACCGACTTACAAGTCACTGTTTCGGCGCCCAAACAGTACTGCAGAACATAGCCGAGTGCGAGAGCAAAATAGCAGGCTGCGAGATAAATTACCGGTCGCTCTGGATACCGCAGTCGAGAAATGTCCGTGAGAAATGTTAGAAAGGTAAGTACAGTGGAGGCGAGACAGAGACAGGACCAGGTAAGCAGCCAGGTTCGTGCAAATGTTTTGTCAGCGCCGCGATAGTAGAGATCTGCACCGCAGTAAACAAGACAGGTGTTATTGAAGAAATGGCGCGCCGTGAACTCTGTCCCCGTACACGCTGTATCCTGACCAACAGTGACAGCGCCATTGTCAGCAGCTGCAACAGCAGCCTGAATCAAGGAGTTTAAGTTTCGTGAGTCCTGGTTGCGTTGTCGTAGTATTTCCTCTAGTTGGGGATACAGACGCTGGAGTGAGCGTAGATTGGGATTAATGGCTCCCGATTCGGCTTCAGGCACCGTTATCGCAGACAGATCTGGAAGTCCTGGTTTTTGTGAATCTAGTGCATAGCCGTCGGGCTCGATACAGAGAGCGGGCGGTTCGGGTAGGTCATCGCAAGCGAGTTCCGTTGGCCAATTAAATTGGAACTGTCGCATTATCGGTTCACACCGATTGCGTACATGGATGCAGAGAGGTTTGCATGGTTTGAGGGCAGACTTCACCAGCACTCTGGTACACATAGGGAAGTATATAGTACATAGGAAAAGGTTGAGGTAGTGTGAACAATTTATATTCAACAAGGAGCGGTAATCAATCATCCGCTTGGCAGCCTCCTCCTGAGATGTCATCTTCACCCAGTTGGGCATTCGTGTCTCCGAGTACTGGAGACCTTGGCACACGGGCTCCCGAATAGGGACACACTGGCTGAGGTCATCGTCGTCATGGTAATTAGGTTTCGCCAATTCCGAGGGTGCCGCAGTGTCACGGAAACTCTCCACAGCATGGACAGCCATAAGCTGGAACGTCGTTACTAGGTAGATTACGATCAACTGCATAGTGTAATTTCGGTGATCAAAGCGGTGAGAGCAACATATCGTCCGTGGAGAAACTAGCGGGAGAACAGCGAACTTCGGTTGAAATACCTCCTGTTCCACAGGGCACAAACGTACGCACAAATGTGAGAGGGCAAGGCGTAGCCAAGCTCGGGGATGTCCTGTGCGCTGATTGTTTCCAAAGTGGCTTTACAAGGCACGCGTGTATCATATGAGTGGCGACCTCGACCAATCAACTCTAGGTTTGATGATGCGTTCTCTGATTGGGCAGAGATACTAGCGCGCCGTCAAAGCGACAGCCGTCGTCCACGCCCGTTTGTGTCTCGCCGACGCAGCCGCCACAGTCTGACGCCCGCTCTTGTTTGATGTTGTACGCAGGGGTGCGCACACCAGTTACCTCGAGCCAGCACCTCCCGCTTGCCCGCAACGCACATCAAGAGAAGTCAGCCTTCAGAGCGAATGGTGCGCAGATAGACGAAAACAGAGAAAGGCAGACAAGAATGACTTGTACGCGCGAGGTCGTCCCTGGGTATGCCTAATTACTCAGAGACCAAATGCTAGTTGGCTAAAAAGCATGTGCACACACTAGCTCGGTTGATAAAATCTATAGTGGTTACTTCCAGCATAGAAGTCGGGCGCAGCTGACTTAAGCAACCACGGTTGAACACACATAACAAATGTACACCTCCGGACCTATTGGCTTTCGTTGAGTCTATCAGCCGGTGAGACGCAGATAATGTATTGGCGTCACGACTTGCAGTACGACAATATTTCGACTTCAACTGAGATTCCGCGAAAAGTTAACAAAGTAGCGACAGCACTGCCAAAGACAGCATTCGGCGGCTAGATCGCAGTTGGTAGCCAGGCCCAGTATTACAGGTGCTGGGGGGTTTGTTTACTGGGGCTATTCTGTGGGATTCCATAACTACATCTGAGTCATTTGGTTTACGTTTAAATGCTTGAGGTTAGGATTAGGGTACCGGTTAATGGTTTCCGATTTTCGGGTTATGCCTTTAGGCTTAGGTTTTCGGGTTATGTTTAGGGTTTGAGCGCACGATTAGGTTTCAGTATTACGATTAGGTTTTTTAGTTACGGCTATGTCTAAGGGCTACGGTTACGTTTACGATTTCGGTTAGGGTTAGGGTTGCCGTTAAGGTTAGCGGTTAACGTTTAAGGTTGAGGTTAGTGTTGGGGTTCAGGTTAGGATTAGGGTTAAGGTCGCCGTCCGCTTCCCCATTCCTGGCTACCAACTGCGATCTAGCCCATTCGGCTTCACACGATTAACCAAAATGTCATGTACTTTTGTCCCCTTCGTCGTCCGCGACTTCCTTGTTTCTGTACCACCACCACCACCACCACCACCACCACCACCACCACCACCACCTCTTCCTCCTCCTCCTCCTCCTCCTCCTCCTCCTCCTTATTTGCCTTGAAACTATTTGGCGGGCAGCCTGACTATACAAAGGAACAACGAGTTCAGCTTTTACCAAAAGGCGGTTATTTCAAGGAGTAAACATAAAATGCGAGGACGAGAGGGCTTAGTAGACATTTTAACTGGAGCTAGGAAAAACTGCGTTGAACAGTTTACGTGGAATACTGAAGCCGTTTTTCAAGTGTTCGGGCTTTTAAAGGTCAAACTGCTAATGTTCACCCAAATTCTTGACGTACAGATGGTTTAGTTTTACCTAGGACTTTTTGCTTTTGAAAAATCAGGAAAAGAAATGAGTCTGGTTTCTAACCGTGCATATTCGAAGGAGGAGACTTGCACTGTCGCTGAGCTCTTCCGAAGGAGCAGTGGGCATTGTCTGCTGCGGCCGGCGGTTTTGACTCATGTGCACAAACTCGCACACTCATAAACTCGAAAATGCCTGCATAGGAGTCCAACTGATGTGGTGTGCATTGGAGAAAAGTGATTTAGCTTGCTTTACTTAACCAAACTAAATGTGACTGTGTCGGCTTGAAAAGCTGCCATAATTCCTCCTTTCCGCCGTGTGGTTCCAGTGTACAATTGTCCCGTGTGTGCCACTCGCAAAAAGCAGTAATAGTTCAGATGAGTAGACGAGGTTCGTGAACAGTTCATGCTGTTTTCTGGCAATAGCACCCATATTGGAAACAAATGTTTTGACTGGAAATCAGACATACCCTGGGCAGGGCGGTTACCAATCACGTTATGAGACACACTCGTCCCTCTTCGCTTTAGGACTCAATATAGAGCCCTCACAGGCAGTCGCGCAGCGACCATTAGTGTTGCCCGAAGGAGTACCGGCAAAGGCAAGGGCTACAGTGATGGCCATTTCCTGCTTATTAGCCGTCGTCAGCCAGTCATAACCGACAACAAGTATGGGTGAATTGAGATTCGAACAAGAATTCTTTGGTCATCGAGCTTCATTGTACCCAGCCTTCTGACATGAGCTTCTAGTGGGCCTTCTCTGAGCGCATGCCGCAACGCTGGGCCTCTTGCGAGTGTCTGCACGTGCGCACCAGAGCTGGCTGCCATTCGCCCACTCGGCTCTCCAACTGGTCAAGCAGATTCAAGGCCAAGTCAGACGTGTCCTGACTTAAGACGCCTTGACTCATTCCCCCACAAACTTGGGACGCCGCTCACCCGGTGCCGGACGTGCCCTCGTCCGGCCGCCGACTCTCTCCAACTCCTTCTCCAATTATTCTGTACCGAATATATCATCCTCTCCACTGGCGTCCACCTTCTCTTTCCATACGAGACCGGGCCTGACGGTTGTGGTAACCGGAGTCTCACTCGCGACCTAGCCTATGTGCGATAGGCACGTTGTCTTGTTGGTTGTATCTGGAATGTTAACTATGTCAGTGGGGCGCTCATGCTAGGAAACCAGGGGCCGGGTAGGGCTGACTGACGATGGCCAATTAGTCAAAAATAGTTATCCCAGTCTCCCTTGCCTTTGCCGGTGTCTCCACCTCGGCGCATATTTCTAGTTGCTATGCGACTGCCTGAGGGGACTCTAGAGTGAGACCAAAGGCACAACCGGACTAGCACGTTGAGTAAACCAATGGGTGAGCGCCTTTCTGCCATACATATTGCACAAATGCCATATTGTGTATTCCGAGTTCATATAGTTAACAAGAGAAGGCTTTTCGGGATAATGGAGTGGTACAGTGAATTCTCAACCACAAACCGTCGTCAGACAAAATTAGTAATGCGAGGTAGGGTTTCTGCACTAGAGCATTTGAGGGTACGGAAGTTACATCAATATATGAACGTCGTGATATTTGTTGGGAGTGAAGGGGATGCGTTGGGAGTTTCAGTTATGGCTCTCCGCGTTACAGAAGTGGCAATTCAGTGAGATGCTACCTGGACAGGCATTGATTAGCAGCTTTTGTTACAGACTTGGCGCTGATCAGTGAACTGTGCACGCAGACTTTTGTTGTCAGCATCCAGCTCAGCACGTTGATTGGTGTCAGTTGAGGTTACATTAAAAGCTTCGAGAACTTTCGCGTCTGCTTGGTGTTAGCCATGGCGATCATTTCTGTGCGTCCCAATTAAACTGAAGCTTACAGGAGAAACAAGCGGTCATGTCGGTGGTCATGCTAACTATCTGCGATTACGAACGTTCACAACGCCATTCCTCCTGGCGATGTTATACACCTTTTCCGTCCCCTCGTTGACACCAAGTCCCACGAGCTCATTCTAAAACTGTCTTATATACCATTTGTTCAACTCGCACCACCCTATCTCCTAATCGTTGCATCTCTACAATTTCATTAGCCACTTCTCATTACCGTTTTTGGAATTTCTGTCTATTATTAGGTCCTCAACGTGCCATTAATCCATTAATGATTTTTTTATTAATAATTTTAGTCCTACGACCATTTGTTTTCAGTCGTTCTATTCGTTTAGCTGACAAGTTAGGCACCGCCAAATTTAGAATCAGGCATTTGATAGAGTTAAGCATAGTCCAGTCATATGCGCATAGTTTGCAAGAATGTTTTCTGGTTAACGTCCATACGGTGACTACGGACGTTTGAAAAACTGTACTGTCCCCATCGGATATCCTTTCCCCACCTACACGTTTCTTCCTGAATCCTAAACCGCATAACACTGTTTTTCGCCTTGACGTTTTCAAAGCTGTTTTGCAAATCCTGTTGCCCGTATAGACATTCCCAAAATGGCAATTGCGTCCCTATTCGACCTTTTTAGAGTTGGTTAAGATGCCCTTGGTCTTCCGTTCCCGCCAGGAAAGAGTCAACCAAAATGCACACATGATGAGTGGACGGGTGGAAGGTGCAATGGCGGGACAACTTGAAGGTTTCGTAATCAAAAAGAAGGGAGGAGATTTAAATGGACAAGGTTTACTGAGGCCGAGAGTACGCACGCTGCACCGCAAGTAGTTGTGGCTAGCGTTGCCACCAGGAAAGAGTCAGCCAAAATGCATGCGCCTTACCTACGTCCAGCTGCGGTCAATTGTTTGGCGTCGCGAACCGGAGGTCGGTCCATGCGCGTTAGTGGGACCGCAGACGGCCTTGACGACCCGTGAGAAAGGACGGATTAAATAGCAATTTTCACAACGTACTCAACGTCTTCTATTGTAAGTTTAACAGTTGTCTGGTATTCGGTTCAACCGTCGTCTCATTTATCAGTATGTCTTCTTGTGTGTTTCGGCCGCACGGGAGTAATTTGCGTAATGACAATGAAAAGAGTGTTGATTAACGACTGCCACTTGCGCCTACACAAGTACCGCGCCGTCATTGAACAGAAAAGGACAGAGTGCGCGACATTGTTTGGCGAATTGATTACTGATTCCCTTGGCCGAACAATATCCATCTTGGCAAAGAGGAGACAGGAGTTAAAACGCATGAACCTAGAGCAGAAGTTCGGAAAGTTGAAACCCGAATACAAGACGAACAAAAATGTGGTGTACAATCTATCTTCCAGACAGTTAACTGAACAAGAACTGAGAGTGCTGAGTCGTGAAGCCAACTTTAATACGGCAGATGCCAAACCGGCCGAATTTATCGCCACACTTGAAGCTATGTTGGTAAGAACCAACGCGACCGACGAGGCTAAACACACCGTACGCCAGAAAGTCACCTCCCTACTGCTGACGAACAGGCCCATCAATAATATGTCACCCGCAGAAATAGAAGCAATGAAGGAATTAAAAATGGACAAAGATATAATAGTGCTGCCAGCCGACAAAGGAAGAGCAACCGTCGTGATGAACCGCGTTGACTACAACGAAAAGGCACAAGCCCTCCTAGACGACCAACAGTCCTACAAGTCCACGCCTCCCTCGCGAGCCAAATCGATGATTGGTCAACTAACTGGACTCCTGAACCGACTCAAGCGAAACAGTGCTATATCGCTGGACGAATGGCGACAGATGAAACCAACGGACACGGCACTGGCCCGGTTTTATGGATTACCCAAAATCAACAAGCCCAATGTTCCCCTTCGACCGATCGTTGTCTTGAAAGGCAGCCCCACTTACAATCTATCCAAGTGGATGGCCCGAAAACTTAACTTTCTCCGAGAAGGCTCAAGGACCTCCATCAATTCGGCCTCCTAATTCCTGGCCGACATCCGAGGAAACGTTGTCCGACCGGAGCAGATTATGGTGTCCTTTGACGTGGTTTCATTATTCACGTCCATCCCACCAGACCTGGCACGCGACGTTCTTCGCAACCGACTCGAAGAGAATTACGACGAGACGAACAAACCCCTAAAAATCGACCACTTACTGCAACTGTTTGCTTTCTGCCAACAAACTTTCTTCACCTTCAATGGCAGAACATACGAGCAGATCAAAGGAACGCCAATGGGTTCGCCAGTATCCAGCCTGGTTGCAGAACTAGTCCTGCAGGAACTGGAAAAAGTCGCCTTCGACCACTATGAACCTGCATTTTGGCGCCGGTACGTGGACGACACGTTCGTCATAATTGAAAGGAGCAGACTGGCCGACTTCCAAGACCTGCTCAACGGAATCTTCCCAGACATTCAGTTCACAAGGGAAGAAGAGCATGCCGAACAGCTGCCTTTCCTTGACGTTCTCATCACACGCACATCCAACGGCGAACTCAACACCACGGTGTACAGAAAGGCGACTAACACGACTCAGATTCTCAACTACCACAGTAACCACCCAATGGCGCATAAACGCAGCTGTGTTAGGACACTCTTCCAGAGGGTAAAAACGCACTGCAGTGAACCAGAGGGACGAGCACGAGAACTTCGGCATCTTCGGGACCAACTGGCAAGGAATGGATACCCGAACAGCTTCGTCAGCCACTGCCTCCGCACGCGCCCACGGCGACCAAACGGAGGAGAGCCGCCAACACTCCGGCACCCTCTGCCATATATAAAGAACGTATCCGAAGCGATGGAACGTATTGCTGGAGAGCTCGGCGTGGGTATCGCTCACCGTCCGACAGCGACCATGCGCAGCAAAATCATGCAAGTGAAGGATCGCCTAGACGTGGGTGAACAATCGGGCGTCGTCTATCAGATCCCATGTCGGGACTGCCCTCGCCACTACACAGGACAAACCGGCCGACGACTTAGCTCACGAATAACGGAGCACAAACGCGCGGTCCGGAGAGGCGACCCGTTGTCTCAGATCGCCACTCACACCCTGGAGGAAGGCCACGAATTCAACTTTGCGAGCATGCGGATAGTGGCGCGGGCCAGCAATAAGACAGGACGTGAACTGTTAGAGGCCTGGGTGTCTGGCATCAACTCTATCAACAGGCACGTTGAAATACCCCCCTGCTATCACGCGCTCCGTTCCCGCGGCCAAGGGGCGAGACCCAATTTCCAGCCAAGGGTGCACGCAGTCACGCCACCGTGAGACGGCGTGGGACGCAACTTATCGAGAATACCACCCGCTGCACTCATATCTCTCCCCCCCCCTTCATGGCGTGACTACAAAAACCGCTTATTTGATGTTGCCTTCTCACAGTCTCTGACGATGGCCTCCTGTACGAGACCGAAAGCTCAGACTAATAAACCCACTGTCCCAGAGAACGGATCTTCATCTTCTTTAGAATTTGCGTAATGTTTACAAAACGATATCCTATTTCTATACGCAAAAAAATGCACAGGAGTATCTTTCTGATTACTAGACAGCCGCAGGCTAATTTGATAAAAAGTTAAATTTTCATATTTAATCTGCTGTTTTGTGGTGTTATTGAGTCAAACTATTCCTCCTTGAGTGAGTTTATAGTAGATATATTAGTTAATAACCAATTTGCTCGTATATTCGTGATCGCCGTTACAAATTCTACCTCCAACTTCCTCCAGAAATTGTTAACCGGCCAGATTTATCTCTTTACGTTTGCTTTGAAAGGGATGTCGATAATATGATCATAGAATTGAGCTAAGGATGATAGTGATTCGTAGCGCAAAGGCAGAACATAAAGCCCGCATGAGGCCTGATAGGATGGAGTTACAAATCCTGTAATAGCTCAAATAAGGAACAGGGGGAATCGTAAAATTTGGTCTGTAAGACGAGCATATAAGTACTTAAAGTTTGCAATATTTCGTCCTATGAATATTTTCGGCTGGTTACTTTATCTCTGCCGAAAGCCCTGTTGTTAGACAACTTATGCAAATTTCTACTGAACGAACGCCTTTAAATGCCTCCCATGTCTAAATTCTGTCTTAAAAAAGTTGCGCAAAGTGCAATATACCAAAAGACGTGCAACATCTCCAATGAGTAAGTGATTATGTTGTAGCGTATGCAAAATCTAAGAAATCATGATGTCGGACTCTGGGAATAATAATTCCAACATCCATTAATTTTCTTTTAAGGCAATTTTTCCCGTCAGATTGTGCAACCAAGTTGTATTTATAAATTTCAAAACCTCAGCAATTTTAACATCTTGTAGAAGGCTGTCGGCACCTTTTCAAATGAATATTTTCACTGAAACTCGTTTCACGTGTCTTCTTGTGCTACCGTTACCAGTCACTTTCTCTCCCATTAGGTAGCGTGCTATAAATGGAGTTAAAAACGTGGTTCATTGCAGGGTCAAAAATTGTGTATGCGGCGGACCATAGGGAGATGAAATTATCTAAATGACTGCTTTTTAAATGTTCGATTACAGGAAACCGAGCAGAGAAATGAATTTTTTGATGTTTTTCTAATAAAAGGGTTTGAATTTGTAAAACAGTAAGAAAGTAAGAAATGCAAAAGCAAGAATTTGACTAGAATTGAATTAGATGTCCTGGAAGGATCGTAGTCATAGTATACGTAGGCCGCTCGACCTATTTATTTTGGCCTCTGCGTAGTAACACTACTTAACCCAGCTTTCCCATTTGGGAACATATTGAGAGACTTCTGTAACAATTTTAAAATATAACGCTCACTGGATGTGGGCAGATTAGTTCCGTCAATACTTGAATTTTTATTATCTAAGATTACTTTCGGTCTTATTTTTAAGTAATTAAACTACCTTCTGCGATTAGTTTACAAGCCCTTTCCCTTTTTGTCAGAGAAAGCCTGATGGGACATCTCAAGGCTAGTTTACTTACGAATGAGCACGGTCATACCAAATCAACTCACCATTGGGTCTTCGTTGAATAGAACAAAGGCTAAGTTCACTTTATAAGACGCCCGCAGCATTTTAATAATACATCGCCCAGAAATATGTTTACACACTTGTCTATTTAACGGCGGGATACCGGCATTTCAGCCCGTCATCAAGAGCGGAAAAATAGTAACTTGAGGGGTTCAATTTTGAAGGACTTAATATTCCATTTAACTTGCCCGGAACTCCTTAATTGTGTTCTCCTCTATCCATGGATTTTGCTATGTGGTAATACGTGATCCGGTTATGGTACCCATTTGTTTTACACGCTGGAGCGTGAGAGTGCCATCCGAAAAATTGGCATCTCGAGTGTATGGAAGACTGGGGCTTCCTTGAGACAGTTTTCTACTTACTCAAAAGTGCAGACTCCCTTTTTCAGGACAATACATGTTTTATGAATCATCCATATTTTTTAAAATTACTTGTCAAAACAGTTGCGTAATCATCATCATCATCATCATCATCATCATCATCATCATCATCATCATCATCATCATCATCATCATCATCATCATCATCATCATCATCATCATCATCATCATCATCATCATCATCATTATTATCAACAACAACAACAACACCTATAACTTTCGCCCATTGGGCCCTTTTATAATCAGAACTCCGATAATTACGTACACCTGTGTACAGCTACGAAGTTCGCAAAAAGCTTGGTATGACTTACCACTTCATTAGCAAAATGTTACCCACAAACCTTACGACGATAGTCAGGAATAGATTAACACTGGCCTTTGCAAGCTAGATGGCACTGGCGATTCTGACTAAAAATATCCGAATTATGCATCCTTTTCGACTACTGAAGGCGCAGGCAAAAGCTCCTAAAATCCCTTGTCCCTCTCCTTAATTAGGTGAAATTTAGTTAAAATAAGGGAAGAGTAAAATCCAGATTTGTCGGGCTTTGCGTAATCTAGCAAAAATGGCCTCTGTTAAGGGTAAGCGCTAATTTGGAGTAGACTATGTGTCTGAGTTTCCAAGAGAATAACCATTAATACGATCTTCTGGGTCTTCGCTGAAACAAATGGCATTCCTACACAGTCGTGCCAGAAACAGGTCATTAGTTTTCTTTCACCTGACCTTTTGCGATCTCATTCTTATTTATAGAGAACCGTGACTAATTGGTGGGGGGGGGGGTTATGTAATTACCGTCAGCAGAGCGACAAACTCTAACAATCTTCTGACCGACTAATTACCTTAGCCACCGATTTTTCACAGGCAGCTAAGTGAGTTATGTTGAGAACCAGATTCTTCCCACAGTGTGTTATCCCTCTCTCAGAAAAAAATTATTTGGTATACTTTGAGGATTTGGATGTCAATCTCCTATTCGAGCCAATGTCAGGAGAATATAGTGTTTCAGATAGGGTTTAGGAATAAAAAGTGCGAAGTAGATTTGCTTGAAAATTGAGAACCGAAGAGAAGCAATTCACAGTATCGGGTGTGAATTAAAAATCTTGAGCCAAATTTCCGACAGTTTACTACTTTCTTATTATGCTTATTGTTGAATAAAAAGTAAGCAGGTCGCATTAGAGCTGTTGAACTTAGTAGTGAACGGATTTGTATATACCCCACCGAATTAGCTTCCAAAAAGTGCCCCTTTAATATACTAAAAGAAGCATGCAGTGTAAATACGCATTTTTCTATTTCCATACCTTTGAGAACAGCACGTTTCCTCTCCGAGAAGACTGCAATTACCACCAATCAAGTATAACATGTGACCGTGCACCAGTGATCATGGGGACGCACTCCTGTTTGTTTTTGTTCCCAAATTTTAATGATCTTTTGGTGACGTCTGAAAGGAAAAGCGCTCTGCGGGTCCTAGAGAACAGGTCATGAACATCATGAATATCTCATGTCCAAGTCCATCAAGTAACACGTAAATTTGCTCCACAGCTGAAATGAAAGATTTGTTCATAAGGAAAGGGCACTCATCGATCTAACCTGACTACAGAATAGAAATGCGCGTAACCATTTTGCTTTGCGCTCCAGTTCGAAATCCTCACAGACGGTTGCATGACAACGAGAAGGCGATAATAAAGTGTTACCGACAGAAACGAGGACAAATTTGATACCTTCAAAGATGATGCCACTGTAACAGTCATTTCCGGCTTATTTATCGTCGTCAACCAGCAATAGTCGCATCAAATGCTGTACTGTTCAGCTGAATCAGAGTTCGTATCTCAGGGGTACAAATGGCCACTGAGGTATGGCCGACTGGCTCTATGTAAGCCAGAAATCACCATTTCAGTATGGTTTCTGTCTATGGTGGTAACAGTTCTGTCATTACTGATTTTCAGTTGCCATGCAGCCGCCTGTGAGCTGTTGTCCCTCCAGCTCAGACATCCTCCCTAGTAAACTAAAAAGCCTGTCGCATTCGATAACAAAAGATTTGAACAGCTGGCGACTTGACGTTGACCAACCCCTCTGAAAACTTGTCAATTGAGAGAAAGAGAACGGCACCACTTTGCTCAACAAGCGCGTCAAAATGACGACAAAAGCCGTAGCTACGCGACAGGAGCACAATCACCCGATAACGGAAATACTGTAGACACACAGCATCTAACGTTATCCTGAAAATCACATAGTTCGTCGTTCCTGGTAATCCTGTGCCTGCCTAATCATCGCTGTCAATTTTCCCCAGCAAACCCATCCTCAGTAGTCGCGTCAGCTGCAGTTAAATTTAATTCTCTCTCTACTAAAAGTTAAATCGCAGTACACTCTCAAAAAACTTGTAATCTCGCCCCCCCAGGAATAGCACAATAGTGGGTCACAATCCAATCACACTTTAATGCCAGGGTCTGCATAGAGTTGAAACAGAGACCCATCCACGCCAAATAAATGGACATTGCGATAGCATTCTACTCATACGTACAGATATATTTAGAAGTAGGTGAGATTCTTAGCGAACAAACCAACATTTATTGCGTAAATTATCGAACCTGATCTTGCAGCCCGCCGTCAGAATTTTCGGGTAACGTACAGTTAACTATTTAATAATATCTAACAAGTACATGGCATCTCAACCAATCTGCCGAGTGAAGCATGCCTCGTCTGAGAGCATTGTTTCCAGAAATTCACGGCCTTTTCTTTTTGAGCAGGCACTAATAATGAAAGTGCTTTGCGGAAATTTGCGGCCAGTGTGTGCAGGGTCACCTCAGAAGACCTCGTCTCCTCATTGTTAAATGATGTCTGTATATAGGAGTTGAGACGGATTGCCCAGTTTGGCCATAGTAGACAGCATCACAGCAGACACAGGGGATCTCGTAGATGACAAATTTTCAGTCGAAGTAGCCAACCCTGTCCTCAGAGTGTACAAGTTGCGTGCTCGAGGTATTTGGTGGTTGGTGTGTTACTTGTATCTGCTGTTTTTTCAATTATATTTAAGCGGGCTTAGATATATTTTACATGCACGAGAGAGTTCGACATGTGAATGCTTTTGGAGCCTGGGTGACCTTAGTGTTTGCGATAATTTTCTCTTTGAACCCTTGATACCACGCTTCCGTGATAGTGTCTCGAACCTCACACACGCCACAGAACCATAAAGATCGTTGGGGTATGATCCTTAGCACTGGGTCGGAGCAAGTTAGCCCGTTATATGACAGCCTCCCAAGCCCCAACTACTGGGGTTGGTGCCACTTTAAAGGTATTTTGGTTGTTTGGGGTTGAAAACCAGGTGTTTAATCCGAGCTATACCAGCTCCGTCCTCGCCCTCTCTCTCTTCCTTCTCCATATCTCCCTGCCCTCGGATGAGATAAGGTGCAGGGGTTGAAACAAATTAAGGTCACAGTTTAAAGCACGCACACATCAGAGGAGTCATAAAATGCACATTAAACAGTAGTTACTGGAGTTTGACCTTCGTTCCTAAGGAGAACTGATTTATCCAGTCAGCTGGCAATCTTCCAAACCATGACTTTAACGTACGGATATAATTTAAAGAGCGATATGCTTATTGCAGTGATGAACACACCTTCAGTTGCCCTGCTGACGAGTGTCTGCTCCTCCCTCTTCCAATGTACCGTCTGCATGCCCGAGCCTGTCAGCGACCTGTTAATGAGATTGGTAGTAGTGACCGACACAGCCTGAAGGTCTCCATCTAAAGCGTGCAATCGCACGCATGCATGTACGTGGTTGACACCTCGCACGGACCCAGCACATCCTGATAAATGTGCGTCAGGAGCCAATATGACCCACGTTATGGCCTAGCGCATCTGAAACGCAACCCCGTTGGGGAAAAGGGTGTTTTACCTACAGCCTACCGACTGTTGGCGGGCGTGTTTCTACCGTGAAGGGTACTCATTGAACAGACAAGGATGCAGGGTTCAGCGTGGACGCTTTGTTTTCGCTTTTTGCCACCGTTGGTTGAAAGGCAAGTCAGGTTGCCGGAGAGGAGTTGGAAATGTAACCCTCGACTCCGTATTTCGTCTTTTCATCAGTTAAGCCCGTATGAAGTCAAGCATAATATCAACAACGTTTCCGATGTATTTTTGATCGTATGTGACCTTGTGGAAAGTCCTCCATGCTATTTCCTCCATATAAGCGGATTTTTCAAATCAATATGATTGGTTATTTGGATTTTCATGGTATTTTCCGGCAAGCAATCGTAAAGGGTCAAATCACAAGCCCTAATAAATTTTCCAGAAACGAATTGAAGTTCCATATCGGACGAAAATAATTTTTGACGTAGGAAGGTACGACGCAACCAGTGGTAATAAGTGCTAGCGGTGTTTCCGCAAGTAACCGACTGGTGCTCCACAGAACTGCGACTTTTAAAATAACAAGGAACATCTGAAGGCAAGACCAAAAACCGTCGACGTTCTGATAGCACCAACTCTGATCAGTCATTATTTAGACGCGAATTGGAACTTCGGTTTTGAAGGATACTGAACGATTTAATCCAGTGGCTTACGCTCTAGTGATTTACTCTGGATGTCACCACGTATGAGAGGCGACTACCGATCTGGCTTGGTCCCAAGGCGGAGTACAGACGCTCTGTTTTGCCCATAAGGGCTTTCCTAGGACCTTTGCAAGTTGTCGTAGAACGTTTTTAGTCAGTCTGTAGTAAGTTCAGCTCGATAGACTGAACTTTGATATGGCCGCAAATTAGGGAGCAAATTGATGGCCGTCCAAAGCTGTCATAGCAAGAGCAGTGCAGTTTTACCGTTATTTGGATTTACATTCAGAATTTGCTTAGCGCGCAGTCGTTTAGTCGCTTAAATGCAGCCTTCGGTGAATGCCTACCTTCAATGAGGCCCTACTCGCGCAATGTCGGATGAAACTAGGAATATTCTGATTTGCAGCCGTGTGGTACTTTTCCAGCCTGATCGAATGAATGAAGACGCTCTTTGTTTTCCACATCGAACTCAACTTTAGATTTATCTCAAGCCGGCTACTTGGAATCAGTGATTTAGAGGAACTACTGGCAACGACAAATGAAATTAAATCGACGATTTCCGGCATAGATGTCGTCATAAACCAACCATGTGTCGGTTGGCTGTCATATGGAGCCTGGATTTGAATCCAAGTTAAATTTGTACGCGAACTTTTTAAGTCAAAGAACATTGTTATGGCGCACGTCGGACATACTCGAGGTTTAGACCCGGGACCAGTTTACCATCTAATCAATGCTCTTCGACTTCTTATTTCTAAAACGTACTAGATACTAAAATGAAGAAGAAGAG